CACATGACGATTGTGAAGCATTCAATTTTGTCTTTTATGTCTGAAAAGGTGCAGAGAAATATTTTTTTTCATTATCAATTCTCAAAACTTTAACAGAAACATTACATTCAGTTTTAATTTCAATATAAAATAATTGAAAATGTGACAGTAACTCAAAACGAGATTTCATAAAGTAAAGCAAAGTTCTACGTGAAAAATCATCCATAATAGTAACAAAATATCGATATTCAATAGAAAAAATAGGACAAGTTTCTCATACATTAGAATGAGTCAACTCAAAATTATGATCAACTTTTTTATCAGTTCTGATAGCATAAGACAAATGATGGTGTTTAGTAAATTGACACGACTCCATCTAAAAAATATAATTGTTGAAATTCATGGTGTTAATTGACATTGATTAATGCCCTAATCGACAATGAATCTCTAACAGAGATAAGGTATTAAAGCTAACTATCAGTCGAAGTAGTTTGTTTTCCAAAAAATATAACCCTCATGATTCTCTTGTTTTACCAATAATCTTTTTTGTTACAAGATCCTGAAAGGTAATGATCATTGAAGAATAATATACAACAATTAAGAACATGTGTAATCTCGCTAATAGAGATAAATGTTAAAGATAGTCTAAGTGTATTGTTAATTGTGCTAGAACCAAGAACATTAGAGATAGATTCATCAAATAAGATGGCAAAAGATGTTTATGAGAAAGGTGAGAAAGTTTTGGGATAACCTTGCATGTGATATGTGGAACTAGAACCCATTACGTAAAAGAAGAAGAAAGAAGACATGTATCATTATTACCTGACTCAACAAAAGAAGTGATAGAGCGAGATTTCTTGAATGCATCATGAAATTAAATAAGTTTAGCATATTCATGTGCAAAATTCAAGAGTCTGGCTTGGGAGAGTTCGTTAGAGTGATCATGTGAGTTGACTAAGATCTAGAACCCTTTTGATTCTTTTTGAGTAACTTCTGACACATTTTCTTCATATGACCAAGTTCATGACAGTAGTAGCAAACTACCCTCTAGTCTTGATTTCCAGAATTTGGAGTTCTACTTCTATAATTGTCCTGAGATTGAGGTTTATTGATGCTTGTTTTTTTCTAGCTAATAGGAGCCTAAGTGGTTGTAAAGATGGAGCTTGAAAACTTGAAATAATACACAACACTCTAATATATTTTTCCCTCAGAATAGTAACTCCAAGTTTAGATAGATTCAAAGTTTGACACATTCGTACTGAGAGTTGCGGCTAATCAGAAAACTCATAACAGTCATTTGTTCCCTTTGAGTCTGTTGATTTATACATCAGTATTGAAAGACAATAGTTTCTCATTTCTTCATAAACACGTTTAAAGTGCATATGATACGTGTTGAGTGATTTATCTTGTTTAACATGATAAAACTTCTTGCATATATCAAAGATTAGAGAAGTATTCTCTCCCAGAAAATAGAAATATTAATTCCTCCGTCGTATTTTTAACACAGTTACAGACACAATGAGTAGCATGACAATATTGATCATGTTCGATAGAGTTTCATATTTGTATCAACAGCTGGACATCAACTCTCATCCACTTAGAATAATTCGAATCAGTCTTAGCTAGTGCATTGCTCGTGGGGTGACTCTCTTTAGAAATACTTCTTAACTAGAGTTTCTCAATTTTATTCCAATAAAAATAATTGATGTTATTTATTTTTTCATTAATAATTTTAGCTACTGAAAAGACCACACTTGTCACAACATGTTTTTGTTTACTAGCCATATTTATCACCAAATATTCAGAGACACTAAATTAACTAATCCTAAAGTTTGTCAATAAGCTAATTAGCTTCAGCAACAAACGATGTTGAGCCAAAAGCTAGAGAAATTGTTGGCGATCTCGAAGAAGATTGTTTCGTAGAAGAACTTCGGGCAACGGAAGAAGGGTACGAGTGCTAAAACCCCCAAGTCACAGACGAAAGACTTCATAGAACAACACCGACTACAATGAGGAAAACGATGCCAAAGAAGAACCCTGCTGTCAATGCAAGAGAGGAATGACGTCACAGGACAAACGTCTCGCGATGGAAGACCGCACTCTACTGCGAGACGATGCTGAGAAGGCGAAATGCCCACGACTAGTTTGAATCGTTCATCTGTACGTCAACAACAAATGATTTAATGATGTTGACGAGTGATCTAAACGTGCGATTTAGACCATACAGACATCGACGAACGATTACAGCGATAGAGATGACGCATTGATCCAGACACACCATTCATACCACAGAGGATGCTGACTAACGATTCCAACCACAGAGAGGATGCTATGATACCATGTAATGAAAAAATTTCTTATTCAATTGAAAGAATATGTACATATTAATATACACCATATCTCTATATATTAAGAATATTTTTAATATAGAAAAGATCATGTAATTAGATCTCTAATTATGCTTCCTAATATCAATTTTCTTAATATATAAGTTGTTTAATATACAAGGATTAGTAGTTATACATTTATTGAGAGGTATACTATGAAAGCTATACATTTATTTTCAACACAATCAAAGCAAGGAACTACATTTATTTTCAACACAATCAAAGCAAGGAACTACAAATTATTTTTATTTATTTAAAAAAAGCTTAAGATATGGTTCCAAGAAAAGCTCTTTCGAAAGTTCTAGAGAAGAAAGGTGTTGATATGACTTATATTCATGTAGCTAACCCGACTTAGTGGGATATGGACTTGTTTTTATTGTTTTTGAAAATAAATGACCTTGTTTTTAGAATATTCAAAATAAATTTTACTTGTTTTGAGTGTGTTGAAAGTAAAATTCATTTGTTTCTAAAAATAAAAATTAAAACACATGAAGAATGCACTAAACAAACATTTTTTAGAAACAAAAATAAAATGTCCCAAAAAGGCCCTTTGAAATTTGCCTACCTTTACAACTATCTTCATTTATCCCATGCATGCATTAAACACCAAACAAGCTTAAATTCAAAGGAACATTATGTTTATTAAACTAAATTATATTAAGCAGCAATCACCTAGAAAAGCATAAATTTGTGGCTAACTACGAATGCAGTAATTCAAAAACTCCATTATTTGAACAATTTGAACATTTGGTGCGCCTGTGATTTGAAAGAGGTAAAGTATGCACTTGTCTCAAATAAAAGGATTAGAGTCTTAACGAGTTAAAAAATTCATTAATAAGGACAAGTCAGCATTTATTATTTTCATTTAAACATAACATTATTATCTCCAGCAATATTAAATTGTTGAGTGCACTAATGTTTATTAAGGTCGGTCAGGAAGACCAAGCCCAATCAAGGTTAGTCACGCCAAATGCATTATTCTGTGCCAAAATGTGCATATAAAAAAATAATGGATAATATTGAGAAATATTTTATTAAAAAATTAGTTCAAAATATGGTCAACTTTTTTTTATTAGGTGACAAGCGACACAAGGGTGATATTATTCAACCATTTGTCCCCTAGCTGGCTAGCTAATATGGAAAACAGGTAATCCTTCGCAAAAATAGGGGAAAAAAAAAAGATCCTTACTTTAATTTATTGTTTCACCTATATTTTAAAATAATGTCTTTCCGAAGCGCATGTAAGAGATATAGAAAGCTCTATGCATTTGCAATCCCTGCTTTATTCTTAACTGATTTTTCATCCCTTAGATAAATTTTGCGAAGGAGCTCTCTTTATAACTATAATATCAAAATACAATTTTTTAAAATTAGATCATTTCCTTAATTGTTTCATCTGTATTGTAAAATGAATTGTGCAATTGTTTGAGAGAGAGAGTTATAGAGAACTCCATATTTTCACAATACCTACTTTTCCCTTCATTTCCCCCATCTTTTTTCACCCAAAAAACAAAAAATCAGCTCATCCATCACATTCCATTTTGCACATTAAATATCAAATTTATTTACATAGAGAGTGTGCAAGAGTCTAAAGGCCTTCGTTTAAGTAGAACTAAAACTGAATACATGGAATGTCATTTTAGTAGTAATAGCTCTAGTGACAGAAGTGTGACTTTGGGTGATCAAATTATTAAAAGGTGTGAACGATTCAGATATCTTGGGTCCGTTGTCCAAAGCGATGGTGATATAGATGGGGATGTTAATAGTAGAATTCAAGTTGGTTGGTTGAAGTGGAGGAATGCATCGGGCCTTTTGTGTGATAGAAAAGCACCGCTAAGACTGAAAGGAAAATTTTATAAGATGGTGGTGAGACCTGCAATGCTCTATGGCGCTGAATGTTGGCCTTTAAAAGAGAAGCATAATAATAAGTTAAGTGTTGCCGAGATGAGAATGATTAGGTGGATGAGTGGATTTACACTTAGAGACAAAATGCGGAATGAATATATTCATGATAGGGTTGGTGTAGCTCCTGTGACAGACAAAATTAGAGAAAGAGGAGAGTAGATGTTTTAAATTCGACTTGTGTTAAGAAAGGCAGAGGTAGACCTAGGAAGACTTGGGCTTATTGTATTAAAAATGATCTTAATTTACTAGAACTAAATGAAAATATGACACTAAATAGGACGCAATGGAGAAAAAGGATTCATGTAGCCGACCCCACGTAGTGGGATTAAGGTTTTGTTGTTGTTGTTGTTGTTGTAGAGTGTGTGCAAGTGTGACTGAAATCACCAATTTTATCTCATCTTACTTAGTTGTAGGTAAAAGTGAAAGAGATGAAGAAAGAAAGATGAGGGATTTATTTTGTCACTCCCCCAATCTCACCTAAATGTTTGTTTAGGCAAAACCGATCATGAAAGCAGATTAAAGTTTTTCAAGCATTCATTTACCTCGACAACAAAAAGAGTAGTACAGTTGATATAAATTTATCAAGAAAATTATCATTCATAAAGTTCATAAAAAAATAACATAAATGTATGCCGAAATATACTTGACGGACATCTTAAATAAATTGAAAAAAGTAAATAAAAAAAGCTCAATGAAATCAAATCCATAGGGTTCCATGCTGATGCTAACCTGGCAAAAAGAGTTCAGAATGAGAAAGGATGATTCCTGTGATGCTATGCAACTTGCATGTTGAAGAAGAAGACTTCTTAGCCATGGAATTGCATGTATCAGAAGTGAACCTCTAAAGCAACAAAAAGAGATGTCCAGTAAAGGATTAAATACAAAAATACCAGAAGAGAAGGTTATAAAATCTTAGTGACACTTACTTAGAATAAACTAATGCTTCAAAGAGTCATAAAGTCATAACTTTTTAGTCATCAAGCATGTGCTATCCCAAGGATAATAGTTTACAGACACTTTAAAACATTCAGCAACTAAAGGGATGTCAGCCTCGACAAAAAGCTCAAAACAAAAATGTTAATTATTTAAATATCTTGGTTCCAAATGGAAAGAGGAAACAGAAAGAAACAGTTTTCTGTAATATTGGCCACAATCAATGAAGATTAAATCAACAAACATTCAAATCAGTAGGTTGAAATTCCAGAAAGTTAGCCTTGAATAAGTAATTGCTCGCTCATCTTTTTAAAAAATACCATGGTGGAACTGACAGTGAAACTTGTATCAGTCCACAGTATTAAATAATATACAATGCCCTATCAGTGCACAGTATCTTCAAAATTTATGTTTAAGCATGCTTAAAGCCTACTATTCTACAAAGCTATGCGCAGATTTCTTTAAATGTTCTTTCAAAAAATGAAAGTGATGAAAATAATTCCAATGTACACATTAAAAATGTTAACTGGATAAGCGTAAAATTAAAAATACTTTGGACAAGAGATTTCTACCTTGATTCAATCAGAGACAAAAGGGATTTCAAAAGCATGAGAACATCTGAGGGATTGAGAAGTGCAGTTGAATTTGTGATAACCTGCAATACAGCATCATTTTTTGGTTAGCAAGAGCGTGGGCATTGCCACAGCTGCATGCAAGCAAAAAGTACATGTTCTTCAGTTATTATCATCAATTTCAGGGGGGTAAACTTCGAAAAGAAAAAACTATGAGATAGCCTATAATGAAGCACCATGTTTCACATTTTGTCATGGATGCCTAATGTTTAAATCTAATCATTGCAACATTACTGATTTAAGGTTATAGAGAAAAAGGCATGAAACTAAGGTTGGAGCAAGCCGACACATGAGCTAGCTCAGACTCGGCTTGATAAATAACTCGTCTAAAAAATTTTAATATAAATACACTCGAAATCTATTAAATTTTAAAAATTTAATTACAAAGTTATTAAAAATAGTTAAAATTTTTCTTATATTGAGCGATTCTTATGAGTTGTATTCTAATTTCTCATCCTTTTTACTATTTTATTATAATAATTGCTTGAGTTATAATTATTTTCTCTCTTTGATGATAAATGAACCAGCGCGTGAGCCAACTTGAATTCACATAATTAAGGTCAAGCTCAAACTCAATTAAGAATTAAGCTCAAGCAAAGGATGACTCAAACTCAGTCAACTAGCGTACACCCCTACACAGAACTACCCTTCATATCTTTGGGTTTTACTCAATGACTGGCCAAATTTGCAATACACCAGAAACCCCATTGAGAATTTGTAAATTACATAGAAGTTCGGTGAACATAGAACCGATTGTTGTGGTATCAGCAAAAGAAGATGCATTAAATTCAAAAAACTTCTGATAACCTAAATCACCATCAACTTTAAGTTATTTATTTAGGATAACAAAAAAATGAGATACCTTTCCATCAGTAGTGGACAAACACTCCACCAGTAATGCATGATCTTGAGCATGAATTGCTTGCTTCAACAAAACATGCAAGGAATCAGCAGTTGGAATGGTTGTAGGGGGAGGCGCTTCCGTCTCAGTAGCATTTTTGGCTTCACCATCACCGATCAACTCAACCCTAGCAAGCTTTTCTGCCATGGAGAGTCCACTCAAGTCAAGCTCAGCATCCAATTCCTGCACTTCACCTAGAGGAAGTTTAGCATGGACACATTTCAGAGAAAAATGGTGAAAAATAAATAAAAATTGTAAGGGACTTTTACATACCACAGAATTCTTATGTATTTACATATCTCGCGCCTGAACTTTAATATTCACACACATAGCATGCTAACCTATAATAACACAAAAAAATAGCACTATTACCACTATTTAAAAATTAAATACACATTTTCATGCATGGGTTTAAAACACAAAAGTGCTATTTGTGTCAACATGAAAATTTAGGTGTGAGATATGTAAATAAATAAGAATTGTGTGCTAGCTATGTAGATTTCCCAAAAGTAAATTACTAGTCTTAGAATTGAAAAGCTATTAAAAGCCAGAAAATAATGCAACAGCGAAAAGTTGCTGAAATTCTCATATGAGCAGAAAACAATATCAATAGATAGAAAATTTGAAATCCAAAACAACAGATAAATTCATCAACAACAATTTAAGTGTCCAGATACCTGCAGTATTGGCATGTTTCTCGCTGGTGTTACAATCTAAATCTGATTGTACCCTCTTCTTTGTTTTTCTCTTTTGCCTGCGAGTCACTTTGACTTCTGAATCCGACATTTTCCTTCTTTCTGTTGCAAGATAGAATTGGAATAAAAGTAAAGTTGTCAATACGTGAAGTATCACAAACATACTGGCAAGATGATATCAAACTTTACAAAATAGTAATCAATCAACATAAATGGGTCGAGGAATAAAGAGCTTAAAACAAACAAAGTTGAATGTGATGAAACTCAAGGGATAGAACAAACTACTAAATAGAAGAATAAAGTAACAAAAAAGGGTATTCATGCCAAAATATATAGTGATAGTATGTCAAAAGAAAAATGAAAGAATGATGTCCAACATTAATAAAATGTATCAAATTGAACTTAAAAACTATATCAAGAAAAAAAAAATTGTAGGCAGCAAAATACAACAAAGAAAACTTGTTTGAATAAGTCACTAAATTTGGAAAAACTAAACAAAAACAAAAGGAGAATGACCAATTTAAAATGATTTGAATCAGACAATAAACAGAATATCATGAGTGGCAAATTATAATAACGCATGTCCTGCTAAAACAACAAGCAAACAAAAGGCATGGCCAATATATATGCTACCCTCAATGCAAGACAGAGAGGGTTTATGTACGCAACCTTCCCCTATGCTACAAAGAGGCTATTTACACGAGATGAACCCATGATCTCCAAGTTTGTGATTTGACACATAACTTCCAGGTCATAAGGAGTCAATCTAACCACGGCTCCAGCCACAACCATTAGTTATAAGAGAAAGAACCAAAAAAATCTAAGGGGATTCATATTATTTTTATTTTTTAATTTTGTTTTTTAAAAAGAAAAACAAAAATAGAAAAGGATAATCATAAGCATAGCACTCAAAACATTGCTACATATAAAACTAGCAAACAAGTTTGTTTTTTTTTTTTTGAGTTACCAGACCCATATAATTATAATGCCACGATCTAATCATTGAGAATTTTTATTTTTAATTTTTAAATTTTATTTTTTTTATTTTGTTTTTAAAAATTAAAAAAAAAATAAAAAAGGATAATCATAAGCATAGCACTCAAAACATTGCTATTTATAAAACTAGAAAACAATTCTTTTTTTTTATTATTTGAGTTACAAGACCCATATAATTATACTTCCACAATCAAATCATTGAGAATTTAGATAAAAATAAATTGGGTTGGGTTTTGTTGTGAATTTTGATAGTTGAATGCAAGAGGGCGCTAGTTTTGTAAATGGCAATATTTTGACTGTTATACATGTAATTTCCCCGATTAAAATAGAAAAGTGAACCCAAATTGCCCCTAAGTTATGCCAACATGTAAATAACTTCAACTTCAAAGGTTTGGTGGGTTTATAGTGGTACACTGATTAAGTGTATTTTAAGGGAACATCCAAAAATATAAAAAAATTTCACTATTAGAAATTAAAAACAAATTAAAAAAAGCTTAGGTTGCCTCTTGGATTTAACTTAAGTAGGATTTACTAAATCCAATAAATCCATATTTAATAAATCCAGTTATGTTAAATTCAAATTTTATGTTTGGCATTATTTCCGTTAAATCCAGTTAAATCCATAAATAGTGTATGGTAGTTGCTTTCCGGATTTAACAAATTCGCAGGAATGGATCTTCTTCCACAAGCGGAGATTTTGGACGTTCGCGGGAATGGAACTTCTTCCACACGTCAAGATTTCCGACACTCTCTCTCCCTCCTCATGCTTAAATCATAAATTCATAATGAGATCCTGACAGCAATACTTTTGTTCTGCTATGCTAACACTTTCATTCATTTCAAGCTTGCTATTCATATAAAAGGTCAAACGAAGAGATTTTATTTAGTCGAATAAAGTAAATCAATCATAATGGACTGTCTATCTCTCTTTCTATATATATGTGTGTATATATATATATATATATATATATATATGTATGTATGTATGTAGATATGTATATATATACATATCTACATACATACATACATATATATATATATATATATATATATATACACACATATATATAGAAAGAGAGATAGACAGTCCATTATGATTGATTTACTTTATTCGACTAAATAAAATCTCTTCGTTTGACCTTTTATATGAATAGCAAGCTTGAAATGAATGAAACTCTGTTAGGGTTTCGCCCGATGGGGATTCTCTAGTTTGAATCCTTCGGCTTTCAATCCATCTTTTCCGTCGTGCTCGACGACGAGGTTTCTCGTAGTCGACGACGAAGGGCTTCTCTCCTTCGGCTTTTTGCACACATCGTCTCCTCCTACGCGCCATCGTTTCGTCTTGCTCAACGACGAAGGGCTCCGGTGTCGTCTTCGTTGAGCTTCGTCGAGGCACCCTTTTCTGCAGTTCGTGTCTTCTGCGCGGCTTTTTGTCTGTCTTAGTGGACCTCATCAAGCTGCGACTGTTCCGCGGCTTTGACATCCGCAGCTTCGCCGCGACCGTTTTTGGGACGTCATTGTTGCCCTCTGCCCGACTTGGCAGGGCTTCTTCTTACTTTGATGGAGCTTCTTTCTTCTTCGGTTGAACCTGGCAATGCCTCATTTGCCCATGTGGTGGGTAATTCTCAGGTGGAGACGACAGTTGTCTTCCACTCAAGTTAAAAGGAGTATCGTGATGGTATATGTGATTGCCCCTTTATTAAGAATGCAAACAGAAAAAGTGAGAAATCAGCATTTTTTCTCTGAGTTAGAAATTTCAATCCTGACAGAGAAATTCAAGTTTGCTCTTATTGAAAAATTTTCGTGTGGGGACCCACCTATGGAAGTTATCAGAAAAAGTTTTGATGATATCAAATTAGCAGGAAAATAAAAAGTATGGGTCATGGATGAAAGACGTGTATTGATTCAATTAAACATGGTTGAAGGCTACACATTGATTTTCTCCAAAAAATATCTTAACATTGATATTAAATCAATGAAGTTATTCAAGTGATCTCCCGATTTTAATCTCAATCATGAACCTCCTACTGTATCGCTGCACTTTTTTTTTCATCATCAGGTTCTTTACTCTATTGGGGTCATACTTGGGGACGTTATGAAGCTAGATCTACCCACTTTCAACCTAACCAGACATTTTGTGGCCAGAATACTTGTAGAAAGAGATATTACTTTATCTGATGTTACTGAAGTCTGGTTGGGCACAACTCATTAGGAATATTGGCAACAAATCGTCATGGAGCATATACCATCTTATTGTTCTCATTATAAGATATTTGGGCATATCCTTGATAAATGTCATAAGCTTCATCTTAATTTCAAATCTAGAGAGGTAGAGGCGACAACTCATACCTCACAAATACTTGAACCTCTTGTGGGTACAACTGTTGGCAATCTTTCTACTGCAGCACTACCACCTCATCAGAATGAGCAACAATCTTCAGATGAGGATTGACAAATCTACACTTTCATAAGGAAGAAGAAAAATGAAGATCTACTTGACTTAAGGAATCTAATGAATGATACTTTGGTTACTTCGGGCAATGATACACACCTAACCAATTTGTTAGTTGGTTCCCTTCCAAGAACTAGAGACAAATGCAAAACTAAATTGGGTCGTCCCAATTGATCTTATATGTACCATCTATTTTTGGGTTTTTATTTTTTTATTTTTTTGTGTTGTATCGAGTGGGTTGGGTGCCTTCTTAGACCCACTCATACAATCTATTTGTACCCTTAACTCTTTAATATAATTGTCTTTCGGCTTTTAATATATATATATATATATATATTAACATTTGAGCAACTTCGCCACGAATAAATTAAAAAACTTTATAAAGTCATTCATAATACTGAGCTTTGTGCCCCTTAAAGCTGCCCTCAATAAGCAAATAAATATTACAGAAGCAAACACAACCTTCGACATCAGGAACCACATTCAAGCAAAACTTCTCCAAAACTCTTAGCTTTCAATTCTACCAAAAAGATGCCTCAACAAATGTGATAATAATAATAACTAGAAAAATTAACATACGAAGCACACAGTTCTTATGTATTTACATATCTCATGCCTAAACTTCCAAGCATACATAATACTTTGGTGTTTTAAACCTATGCATGAAAATGTGAATTGGACTTTTAAAAAGTGGTAATGATGCTATTTTTTATGCGATATTAAAGGTTTGAGTGTTATGCGTGAATATGAAAGTTTAGGAGTGAAATCAAAATACATGTGAATTATGTACTATGCCAAGTCACTGGGAATACAGAAACAGACTTTCACCGCTAACAAATTCGTGGAGCAAAAAAACAATGAGACAAACAGCATTCCATCAATGTTCGATAAAATAATACCCTCATCAATTAGTAATCTAAAGCCACCATTACATATGGTTCAGCTCTTCCAGCATTCCTCTTAGCCAATGAGAGGGCAACAACCGCAGATATAGCAAGTAAATTAGCTCTGAGGCCCAAAATTGATTCATAACACTAAAAGCAAGTATCTAAAGAATAAACACAAAATAAATAGAGTTAAAAACCCTTTGTGAACATTTAAGAATTGTAACTAAACCCATGAAGGATATAAATTCTCAAAATTGGGAGAAAATCCATTTCCATCCCAAACCTGAAAGCACAAAATATGCATTAGAATTCAAATTTTTTCTCTTCTTTGATTCGAATATCAAGAGTTTGAGAACTAATGAATGCAGGTAATCATGGAAACTTGAAAGGGAAGCACAAGCAAGTGATCAAATTGATGTTAATTAGTAGGTCCGAAAAAATAAAAATATGGAGGCCGTAGCCCGAAAGATGGGTGTGCCGTGGAGTTAATGGCCCAAAAGAGTAGACGTGTCGTGGTATGCCGTGGAAGCAGTGACCCGAAAAAGTTGGTGTATCGTGGAGGAAGAGACCTAACTGATAGGTGCGTCGTGGAGGTAATTGACCATAAAGAATGAGCGTGTCATGGAGGCAAAGGCCCGACAAATTCGTGTGTCGTGGAGGCAGTGACTTAAAGGGGTCGGATGCATGGAAGCAGAAGCCCGAAAAATGGATGTGTCGTGGAGGCAGAGGCCAGAAAGAGTGGGCGTGCAATGGAGGCAGAGGCCCGAAAAATGGATGTGTCGTGAAGGTAGTGATTCGAAGGGGCGGGCTCGCCTTAGAGATAGCGACCTGAAAGGTGGGTGTGTCGTGGAGGAAGTGACACGACGGATGAGTGTGTTGTGGAGGCAGTGAATCGAATGAGAGGGCGTGTCGTAGAGGCTGAGGCCTGAAGGATGGATGAGCCGTGGAGGTAGATGCCCGAAAAAAAGGTGTGTCGTGGAGGCAGAGAACCGAAGGAGTGGACTTGTCGTGGAGGCAGAGGCCCGAATGGGTGTGTCGAGGAGGCAGTAACCCAAAGGGGTGGGCGTGTCATAGAGGCAGCGGCCCGACGGATGAGTGTGTCATGGAGGCAGTGACCCAAAAGGGGTGGGTGTGCTGTGGAGGCAGTGACCCGAGTAATGAGTATGTCGTGGAGTCAGTGACCCGAATGTGCGAGTGTGTCGTGAAAGCAGTGACCCGAAGGGTGGGTGTGTCGTGAAAGCAGTGACCTAAATGGTTGAGTGAGCTCTAGAGGCAGTGACCCAAAAAGATAGGTGTGTCTTGGAAGCAGTGACCTGAAGAGACAAGTGTATCGTGGAGGCAGTAACCCAACGGTTGGGAGTGTCATGGAGGCAGTGGCCCCACAAATGGGTGTGTCATGGAGACAGTGACTTGAAAGAGTGGTGATCATCACTTGGGAGAATCATACAAGTGGGATGACTGTACGAATAAACACTCAAAATACAACTCAAGCATGTGATAATGACTATGCAAGATGTCATGCGAGACATGTAGCATAAGAGGAGTATCGTGTTCAGTCGCCAAGGGTTAGGACGTCACTGGGAGAATCACAGATTGCCCCAATAGCGATCAAACACACATGCAAACGACAAGCATATACAATGCGCATGCAAACATACACTAATGTACATGCAAACATACACTATGCAAGTGATCGTTTGGTCGGGTCAAGGAGGTCGGTCGAACCGAAGTGCTCTGCCAGCCAAGCCAGGGCAGCCGGTTGGACCAAGTGACTGGTTGACCGGGTTGGGATGCCCTATCGAACCAAAGTGCTATGTCAATAGAGCCGGAGCAGCTGATCGAGGCAAAAAGTGATGTCGACAGAGTTGGAGCGGCCAATCGAAGCAAAAGTGATGCAGACCGATCCAGGGCGGCTGATCGAGACAAAGTGCAAGTGCAAAATGTTTCAGGCAAAAGACACATGTCACAACTCAAAGCAGACGATCATGCTCGATAACAAGTCATACTTGTGCTAATGATGTCACTTAGGACACCTAGAATTTAGCACTTGGATGCGCCGCACAGCCGCCTCCTGCTTTGGCGATGTGTGAGGAGAGTTTCACCTCCGTGTCTCCATAAGGGACTCTCCAAGATGTTGTTGAATAAAGTAGTTACAAAATTTTCCCATTTCACAAACTTTCACGATTTTGCAAAGCGAGCTAGCTGCGAAGTTTTTCTCACTTTGTGAAATCCAAATATCCCAACTCTCCAAAGCAATGAGAGATCGGGACTACAACCCGCTACGATTTAGGTTTATGGTTCACAAACGAGAAAATCGCTCGGCTCCGCAAGGGGTTTGGTCACGCATGAGAATCCTACCCTAGAGCTTCCTCTAAAAAATCAACGGTTAATCAAAGAGAGTGTGGTCGCGCCAACTAACGTCAACCGACCCACTCACCCCTTGTGGGAGACTGGACCCCACAACGCCTAGCCTAGACTAACCTAGGGTAGGCTATGAAAGAAAAATTTGAAGGGTTTAAAAAAGGTTAAACCTGTCGTGTTGGTTGTTTGTTGTTTGGCGAAGTCGGAGAAGAAGCTCTGCTCAAAAGGAGAGAGGAAGCCCACGCTTTCGCGTTGTGATGTCGTCGGTGTTCGGTCCACGGTGAGGCACTCTGGAGAGGTTACCGACCACCAGGAAATGAAGGTCGGCAAGGTGCTTGGTGGAGAAGCTTGTCCCTCAGTCCTGCGTGCGAAAGAGGCGACGACAATCCGTGAAATGCCAGCGGGATGCTCGCACGTCGGAGGAGGATTCTACGGTGGAAGGGGTAGCCGAGGGTTTCGGTCGCGAGCAACCAAAGGAGAGGCGAGAGATCTGGGATCTCGCGAGGGCTTCACGTGAAAGGGGGCTAGGACTGGCAAGGTGGAGGAGCCTCAATGCGAGATTTACCCGACAATAGCTTCGCCGACGAGAGCGGAAGGCCCGTGCAAATGCTTGGCACAAGCGGCTAGGACGCGAAAAATCGCAGAGCTAGGGCACGCGGCAAGAGATGCCAAGGGAGGCGGGTGGTCCGCAAAAAATAAAAAAATCCTTCTGGATTTCGAACGTCAATCTCATGGGAATTTTTTCCCTTTTAAAATTTCTATTATAATTTTTCTTTAAAAGTTTTGATTCGCACGCTGATAATATATGCACGAAACTATAGCGAAATTGGTGTCCTCCTTATGAAAAATTGATGCTCCGAAAGAGTTCGCGCGGTCTGCTTCGTCATTTGAGGTCATATGGATAAATTCGTCGATGGACAGGCTAATTTGAGTCAATTTCACGCGCTGCGCGGCAAATAAGACCTGCTAGCCCGATTGAAACCGTCAAACAAACAAAAATGTTGATCGGCCTTTGTCTGAGTGACGTTCGAAGTTTAGCGAAACAATCTTGGTAGCGTACCCCTTAACATGCGTCGAATGGTCTGAAATGGATTTATTGTACTACGAGAATTCATGTGTGCCTCAAGCAATGCTTCATAGCGCTTGAGCGAACATTCTACACTAACGACATCAAAAATTGATGTCAACAAAGAACCCCCAAATAATGTGTTGTGTTGTTAAGGCATGGTGCGCTTGTTGGAAGCGACTCAATTTTTTATCGAGAAGGAATGCACACGGGACTTATATCCTACTCCAAAGGCGGGTTCAGAGGTCGTAAAGGCATGACCTGAATGGGTGGTCTAGAGGTCGTAAAGGTATGACCAAGGAATGGGTTCGAGGGCCATAGAGGTGTGACCCAACATAGTAGTCAGAGACCGTAGAGGCGTGACCACGAAGGAAAGGTTCAAAGATCATAGAGGCATCTCTTTTGGTGTCTCTACTAATTGTTTTCTTTTATCTTAGTATGTATTGAATCATCGTACAACTCTAAGACAATAATCTCTTACTCTACCACTGCAAATTTTCTCTCACTGTGGGAAAGAGTTACACAATTTCTCGAGTTACAACAACGGAATGCAGATGAACTTGTCACCCTGTAGTAGAGATGATCACAACAGGGAATAATAGTCAGGGCTTCAATGCACTGTCTTTAGGGTCAGCACAACGTCCGAGATGATGTGTTGCTTCGTAGGTTGCTTCGTACGGTGTTTCATCAAAAGAAGTGGGTTGCGGTCGATGGTGATCGACAGCATCCGACAAGTGATGGTTGTCAGTGCTTAGTGTCGATCTGAGATTGGTGGTTGATGGATTGTTAGTGCATAAGTGATGTTAAACCTTAGCTTCTTCTCTGATGTTTAGTCTTCTTCAAGCTACAAGATTCAAATCCGCTCTCAATAGAAGAGCAAAGCTCTATTTTTAGAGTCATGGTTGCAAGTAATAAAGGAATTCATACCACTCTGACTAGGGCTGTCAAAACGACTCGTTAAGAAGCTCGTGTTCGGCTTGTTCGCTAAGTTAACGAGTCGAACAAGAACAACACAAACAAATATTAGTTCGTTTGTGTTCGGCTCATTTTGGCTCGAAATACATATTTTTTAAAAAATTAATTGTCTGCAAGGCTGCATGATTTATAATCAATTAAAAGTATTAATTAAGAAAATAGAATCAAAATATTTAAATTAGATTCAAATGATGTTTTAAATATTGCCCCAATCTTTAACATCTTATGACCTTATGACTACATGATGACTACATGATTAGGGTTGTCAAAACGGCTCTTTGTTCGTGAACGGCTCGTGTTCGACTCACTACACTCACTTGTTTTATATATATATAACAAATAACTTTAGCTAGTTCACTCACTACACTCACTATCACCCACAATCACTCACAATCCTAAAACCTAAAATTGTTGACTTTGATCTCTGGATCTTTTAGGAGACTCATGTAGATTGTCCCCTAGACCCACTAGCCCTAGGCTAGGGTTTAGCTAAGACCAGTACATAGAGGACCCAAATGAGGATTTCATTTATTCATAGCTCATATAGGGTTCCAAAATGTCCAACTTGGTCTTTTGCCCATAAATTAACCTAAATTACCTAAATGCCCTTCAAATCCTAAATTTGGTCAAAATCCTCAAATTTACCCAAAATACCAAAACTTCTTCAAAAATCACTTCAAATCATTTCAAAATACCCAAATTGCCCAAATCCACCAAAAAACTCCAAAATTACCAAATTACCCCCAAATTTGCCAAAATTACAAAAATACCCTTGGCACCCCAAACTTTCCCAAAAACCTCCAAAATCACTTCGAATGTCTCCAAAACCAATTTGGACCCTTAACTTGAACCCAATTTGACCATTTTGACCAAAACCCCCAAATTGCCTTTAAATGCCCAATTTCCCCAAGCCCAATTTCCCCAAATTCACCCCAAATGTCCATCAATTTGGACCCAATTTCCCTCAATTTCAATTCTAAACTCAAATTAAACTTTTATATAATCAATCCAAACCAAATCCAAGCCTAATTAGCTCATTCTTTGAGCTCAATTTTGATCCAAATCAAAACCCCCAATTTTGATCATATGACTTAATCCCACCAAATCGAACCCCATGGCCTTCTCAATATACCCCAATTTGAATCCTAAACTCTTCATAACACTACTACACACCAAATTGAACTTTTAATTTGCCTTGGTGAAGTCTCAATTTCACTTAATTTCTCAATTTCACTTAATTTTAACTTTCACTTAATTTTAACCCAAGTCAAAAAATCCCCAAATTTGCCCCAAATTGGCTGTCTCTAAATTCCATCAAATTTAATGCCCTAACCCCAAAATTGATGCCCAATTTATGTTGAAAATTCTTCATGAAATTCTTATGGATCATTTACAACCATCAATCTGGACTTAGTCCAACCTTATCCCAACCTAAACCCAAGTCTAGTCCAACATGCCCAAATTAACTAAAATCCCAAAATCCTTCAAATTGAGCTTTCAATTGACATTAAAATTACTTCAATCCTTGACCAAAAATCTTCATTACAAACATCTACACAATTTTGATCAATCAATTGGGCTCAAAATTATGGCTAGCCTAACCCAAACGCAACTTTTAGCCATTTGGACCCAAGTTGAACCCATGCACAAAAATTGATTTAACCATGTCTAAGCCACCAAATTAATGACCCCATAGCCACCAAATACACCCTATGGACCAGGCTAGACCCACCTAGACCAGCCAAGATGAGTTATGGACCAATGGTGCCTTGATTTAATGGATTTCACCCCATATTTGGCCTAAACTTGAGTGGCATAAACTTGAAATATTTCCTTCATCATCACTTACCCTTAGGAGTTCACCATCATTAGCATCTCTTTGGCCCCCCTTAGCCAAGAAGTGACCATACTCTGGCAAGCCACCTCCTCAGCCACCGAAAACAGCCACCCCAAGGGAGTCCCAAATGGGCAAAACCCAAAATTGAACTTCCCTGACTTGGCTCACTCCCATTGGCCATTAGAGTTTTCCTTCCCTCCACCTCAACAAGCTTTAGCACCCAACTCCAAGCCCTGAGTTCTACTAGACAGACATGGCTTTAAATGAAGCTCTCTACGGCCAAGGAAGAGAGTGCTTGGAACCTTAAGGAAACTCTGCCAAAATCTCACTAGAGCTTCCCCAAACCATCCCAAGTGCAATCCCCCCAAGTGCAATCCCCTCCAAGTGCAATCCCCTTGCTCTCAGCCACTGATAGTCACCCCACAGAGCCAATTTCTTCACCGAAATTTGCCCCAAAACTAGGACAGATCTCTCCACGCCTCTATAGTGAACCAAACTCCAATTAATTGTGCACACACCATCCCCACAGTGAAAGAAGTTGATTCCCCACAAAAGCCCCCTCTCAAACAGCCTCTAACCTAGCTCTAGACTAACACCTGAAATTGAGCTTGATCAAATTTATACCTAGACAATTCACCAAGGCTTGAGACTTCATCCGGAGGTTCATTGGGTCCAACCAAAGCTACCACAACCATCTGATTGATGCTTCCCCTCTTAGACAAAGGTATTGAGCTCCAACCCTATCCCAAGCTTATTTTGATTCTCCATTTGTAATGACTTAATTTCATACTTGATTAACCGTATAGATGTGTTTGTCTTGAATAAATGAAGGTTTAGAAACAAACCCCATGCGATTTGGTTGAGTCTAGACAAAGATCTTAAGGTTTTAGTGTGAATGACTTACGGGTTAGGGCACTTGGGGACAATAACAGCGAGCTGTTCGATCGCGCGTGTATCCAAACAACATAAGAGATCAAGCTGGACGAGTGGATGGTGCGTGAACCATGAGCTAACGAGGTGGCTATGTGGCTGACGACATCAAATGGCCGAGCGCCGTGTGGAGACTTCGGAGCGGATGAGGTTGAGGTTGTGTCGCGTGGATAAGTAGATGAATAGGGTGATTTTTTATTTATTTTAATACCTGATCTTTGAAAATTTATAACTTTGCATATATAACTTTGCATAGAAATTTGAAAATTTATAACTTTGCATAGAAAAATTATAAAAATAAAAAAAAAATACCTTCTTGCTCAATGAACATAGAGGAATAATGTGGAATAAAAATAGAAATTATTTTCTTATTCCCTGATTTTTAATGAATTAAATACCCTCTGTGATATTTCAATTCTCGATGACTAAATATTACTCACCTTGGCTTAAGATTTTGAGGTTTCATTCCTCATGACGGAGGCCAAACTTTCTGATTTTTTCAAGGTCAGAGGACACCTTTATGCTTCTAGCCCTAATTTTCAAGCTAAGGTGACCATTTTGGTTGTTTTAATTATATAAGTCAAAATATCACTTGAAAAATAATGGGAATAATTTTAGTATGTCTCCTGTGGTCAGAAAAGTCTAGGAAAAATATTGTAATGTTTTGAATCATCTTGTATATTTTCATGCTTAATTAAATGCATATACATTATATTAATTTATGTAAATCATACATTTATCAAAAATTGACAAAATTATATCCTCACTGTCCATAAAAATCATATTTATTCACTGTAAAAATATCAAAATTATTTGACTTAGTATAAGTACTAAAATAGATTTTTAAGGAAACATTGTATTTTTGTATAAAAATAATTATATTAAATTAAATAAGCATAGAAAAATTATGAAAATTAGTTCTATAAGTTC